GGAATAGACATCATCTGTACTTGATAATTGGAAAGGAGGGATTAAAAATTAAATAAAATTTTAAATTAATTTTAAATTTTATTTAATTATCAGCGTCCCGTTCCAGTTCAAATATGAAAATAAGCCAAATTAATTTTAAATTTCATTGCCTTTTCAGCTCTCATGAAATTAAACTTTTTTGTAAAATTCTATACACGTACAAATTATGTAACGTATTAATATCATAATGTATAACGTATTAATATTGTAATTAATTTCGTAATTAATTTTATGTGTATATAAATGTATGTATGATAATATTATGTGATATAGAATTTATGTAAACTATATCCAGATAAATGTATTAGATTTATTATATATTTATTTTTGTAATTTGCACAATAATTACTAATAAATTATATATTTATCGGAATATATATATATATATTCCGGAATATATATATATATTCATACAAATAGCATTTATCTTGTAGTAAATCAAATTTTTTGTTCCTTTATTGATGTAAATTATTCGAAATTGATGAAACATATGATAACAAAAATTGTTTATTGATTTAACAAGTTTAACAAATATGTTTAATATTGAAACTTTTTTTAATTTGTATTTTATTTTAAATATCAAAAAGTCATTAATAATTTTGAGTGATTTCTAATTAAAAATTTGATGTTTAGAATAATCGTTAATTTTTCTTCGTATTTATAATAGTATACATATTTATTAAATAAGTCATAGATTGGAGCTTTGACTGAAGCAATAGTTAAATATTAACTTTTTGCTTGTTTTTTGACATTTACATTTTTAACATTACAGAAATATAACTTAGTATATTTTAATGATTAATTTATTATATACAAAGACTCATCGCCATCCCTCGCGTCAGATGGATACTAGTGAATGTGTGGTTTACCGATGGAAAATCGTAATTATTTTCATCATGGAGAGTTATTCTTCATCGCTTTCTGTAAAATCCATTCGCAAAGTCTAGTTTAGATGTTCCGTTGGAGATTCTTGTATAAGATCGGAATTAATCCCGGGTTTTCTCGTCAGTTCCTCGAAGTAATAATTTTATCAATGATTCAGTAATGATTGCTACATATTTTAAAGTTAAGTTGCGAAATTAATTCAGTGGTATATTTTAGGTTACACCTACAAAGAAATAATTGTTTAGATACTTATGCCGTCAGTCGAGAATATTGATAGTTAATATTATATATATATATAATATTTTAATAATCGATAATCGATTATTTAATTTGGTATCTTGCAAACTTATCCAAGGAGTTTTTTGATAGAGGATTACCAATGCATGATATTGATGCATTTGTCGCATGTAAATAATAGTAATGGCGTAGAATGAGAGTGAATGCTCCTGCTTGATCTTAGTTGATTTATCAATACAAATTATAGAGTGAGTTTCTTTATTTTACGATGATATTCTGAATTTTAAAATTTCATAGTAAGCAAATACGACGTTTTAACATCAATCAGTGTTTTCCATTTGATGACGTAAGTCACGTTCTGTTTTTGTTACTCGGTCATGGAATACTAAGAAAAATAGATTTGTGTCAATTTGTTGACTAAATGGAAAGTCTATCTATTCCATCCATTATCTCCGATACATGTCATGATTTATTGTAAGAGATTTTTGGAGTTAATCCCATCGGTTAGTGGATTCTGTGCTTTTGTGTTACACCTGTTTTGGAGGTTATACGACACCTTTTTAGAATTCTGAATACATTATGTTATAATTTTTCTGATTATTCGCCATATGATTGTAAATAATTCTGACTTTATCCCAGTGCTTTGTCTTGATGATTTCAAAGATGCCTTCTTAGCCCTTTACTGCCGAGTTGTAGTTGCAATCGTATATAGGTTATGTTTAACATAATCCTTGCATTGCAAATATTATATTATTATATAGGTTCCTTATAAGGTCATAATTCGAATCATATTTAAATTTCTTTTTAGTTTTCTAACTAGCACAACTCGACAATGTCGTCTTCATTTATGATATTACGACGCAGTATTGCGACTTCCTGTGTTTGTAATGGAAAGCGGAATTTTCGCAAGTTCTTATTATACGGTAAACGTGGTAGTCGCAACTTCAAACAACAACAAGCAAAAAATCCAGATCCTGACATACCAGTAGATAGTAAGTTGTTAGTTTCAACATGTAACATTTTGGAGTAGTACATTATCTTGATAAAGGTCAATATAATCTGATTTTATTTGTATAAAATATATTTCCTATATATCATAAATAAACGAGTAAAAGAATTATAAGTGATGTAGAGAAAGATTAGTTTATAAAAAAATTGGGAATATTGTATAATTTATTAATAAGTTACTATAATAAATTACAGAAAGAGGTGTAAGGGATACTGGATACAAAGTTCGTAGTAACTTTGTTAATGTGCCAGAGATGATTCCTGAATTAATTGTTCCTTCATTAGAAGGTTTCACATTGAAACCATATGTATCATATAAAGTAAAAGAAATTACAGAGCCTGAATTCACTGCTCAAGATTTGTTTGATGTAGTATATTCTAAAAAGATAAAAGAAGACTTTGCAAGTAGTCAGTTGGATGAGAACGGACAGCCTTTAAATCCTAGTGAATATGAAAAGCTCACACCACAGCAAGCCAAGGAGCAAGCTGAAAAAACGGGCTGTGATCTTTTTTCTGAAAAGAAACCATTGTAAGTTCTGCTAGATTTTTTAATTTATAACACTAATGTAAATATAATTTCTTCTATGGATATGTATTGTGTCAAAATAAAGAAAACTTCTCATGCTCAAAACACATTTGGATCTCAATCTGTATATGTTTTATTTAGAACTCGCATGTATACATATGTCGATAATTTTGCAATTTACAAAAAGTAACTACTTACTATCGTATATGACTGTTGAAGTGATAGTATGTGCGCACTTTGCTAAGAACATGAAAAACGAAATTTATTACATTGTATATATGTGTATAAGCAACCATTTTTCAGGTCAGTTTCTTTCTTTATTGTTTTTTTCTTTGTGACAAATTGTCTGTAATGGCAGTCAGTGTTTGATAGCAAATAATTACTTCCGCAAAACGGATTGTAGTCTTTATTTTTAAACAGATTACATATTTCTAAAACGATAGCTTACATATAAAACAAGTAGTATCACATGTAATTGTCGCAGAATCTTCCATCGAAATCGTATAGTTATTTTGATAGACAGGTGAAATTAATTTATTGCTACCAAACTTCGTACTGGATTTCTATTTTACGCAATCCAAAGAGTTATGTGAGTCCAGAAAAGACAGGCAGAAGAAGAATTCGCAACAATGTCGAAATTGATTTTCAATTCCTGAGATTCATAGATATCCTTGCATTGATGTCCGTTTGCAGATTTGTGGATTTCGTTTGCGATTAGGCTAACTTAACAGTTATGTCTCACTTATTAAAAGATTTTTGAGCGAAGTTTGATTGTTTCCTGTCGGGTAAAAAATGGCGAAAAATTTGAATAGTAAAGTCGTTGTCAGAGTTGTGCGCGGCCGGTATTGCTTGCTACTGACTAGATCACTAGATTCTAATAATATATGTATGTATATGTATATTGTTTTTAAAGTGCTGTATTCATATCAAATGTACAAACGGCTTCGTAATTATTATTGTTTCTCGTCAATCTCTCCTAATTAATTATAATTATGCAAGAAGCTCATAAAACAGAGCTATCGAAATAGAAGATATTCTGTTTAGACGAAATCATATTTAGAGAATATCAGTGAATAATTCATGAAAGATACTCGTATAAAAGTGCAGCTGTTAATATAGTGGCTATAAACGTTTCTAGAAAGAGATAACATATACAAAATGCAATCAACTTATGCTTATGTAGGAAATGATCATAGTAAATAATTTATTTAAACATCTTTACAGAATGCAGCACTTCTGACACATTAACTACTATTTACCGCTAATATTATTGTTGTTCGTTATTATTTTCTCTATTTTCTATGGTCACCATTGTGAAGAGTGGAAGAGGAAAACATCTCTAATTTTCTACAATGGAACGTTCATTGAAAAAACATAACGAACAAGTTCTTTTTAACCCGTGTCGTGTTTCCACTCTTCAATTAAATTAATGGAAAAGCGAAAATGGCATAATACTTGAAGCTCCGCTATCAAAAGAACTTTAATCCTATTTCAGTCGCTGTTATTCTTTATCGTCAATTTTTGTTTTTTTTTTCTTATTCTTTTTTGTCTTATTCTATAACGTATTTATAATATCTCGTCAACAACTTGAGCTTTCGCATTTCTCTCACTCATTGGCAGTACAGAATTATATCCTCTAAGGATTTATATCGCATAAATTCGTAATATTCTGTTATTCATTTTATACATATGAGCGGTTATGAAAATGAACGAGCTCAAAGCCATCTAAGTCTATCTGAATCCGTCAATTAAAAATCCCACAGTTAACGATACTTAAAAAACCCACACAGTTCTCTATCTCTCTCCTTCTTTTTCCCCTTCATACTCTCAAGCGGAGTTTGTAAAGCAAGTCATATGCCATTTGCTCTTCAATTAAACTCGATTGGTGTTTTAGTTTGTTAATTATCAGTCTATGATATAATTGGATATTTGACTGGTAGAATCAGTCATTTTAATAAGGCAGGTACACGTGTTACTGCATGATAAAGATTCCTCTGCATGAGAATTCTTTTTTTTTGGGACATATATGTATCCTGTGTATACTCATGCAGATGTACAACATTGACAAGTATATTTTTGTGAAATAGAGCACAATAGTGAATGATTTGTATAGAATATTGTACGCAATTTTTAGCGCGTTAACCAAATCTTCGAGTATCAATGTGACAGACCAATATAAATACAAATTTGTAAATCTTTGGCATTCAGTAACATGTACCATACATCTAATCGGAGATCTTGAGTATGTAAAGATATATAATTATTATAGATGAGTGAATAAATTCTTACGTTAATAAATTCTTCGTATACTTTAGCGTTTCTCTATCAAATGCAAAATGATATGCAACTATGTATGTTAATAAAAGTTAACGTGGAAAGACTAGGGAGGGAACACTGCTGAAATTTGATATAATAATTCAGCTGACTTTTCATACGCAAGATCTCGAGGCATTACTAATAATTAACGATAGGGCAGAAATTTATTCCATTGGATCCCCTACATTCTCGAAGATCGTTGAATGTGGATTGCTGGTGGCGGGCCACAAGAAACCACCTACACTGCCAGGTGGTAAGTAAGATGCACCTCCACTAAGACCCACCTAATGTTTCATATTGTATCAATTATTTAATATTTAGCATAAATAATTAATTTCTTTTTTATATTTTTATATCTATATGCATGTATTCTTGGAGAAAATATGTGCCAAACAAAATATGGAAGCATTGTGGGAGATGTAGACACTTCAATTTTGTAATGAAATATTTTTTATGGATATTATATATATGTGTGTATATAAATGTATATATAAATATATTTGTATATAAAAAAATATGCACGATTACTTGATTATAGTGTGAAAATGTAAATATATAAAAATTTGAATTTTTATTTTATTAAGATATAATACTGTAAGAATATTTATCATATTGCATATACAAATTAAATCAACCGTATGATTGTACAGTAATATCGTCTAATTTTTTTCATATTGAATGTTTCCAATTTGAAGTGCGTTATAAATTTGAATTGCTAACAAGATGGTATATGATCTTATATCAAGGATTCATGCACAGTAAGGCAAATTAGAATAAAAGATAACTGCCAAATTAAAGAAAAATAATCATTTATTTGCATTTAACATAAATAATTGTGCTAATAAATCGCAGGTACTAAATAACATTGTAGGTACTAAATAACATTATGTACATTAGCTCACTATTGCAAATGTGGAAAGCATTTACAATAATGCCAAGACACTCTCAATAAAAAAAAAATCTTATCTTCTATATTGAGTGAACTATGTACAAGGGTTTCCAGTTTCATTTTTCTACAGTGTCATTTTCTACAATGTCGATTAATTTACTTCCTCCAAATAGAGAGTGTCAAAATCACAGTCCAATTGTAAAAAGCGCTCCAATAACTGTACATATCGCTTCATTCATACGTTTGCCTGATCTATCTATTTTTCGGTAACTTTTTTTATGAATTTACCTGCTGGCTCCATATAAGCGACCTCTCTGCCAACTGGCAATCCGCTGCCAAGCGGGACGGTAGACTCTTCCACCTCTCCTCGTCTCGCTTTCTATCTCTATCGAAGTCTCTGTCGACGTGTCCTTGAGAGAGAGGCGGCAAAATCTGTGTACGTTGTGCCAGCTTGTAGCTGTCTTGCCTCGGTACGTGATCGGCACGTCTACTGGTGCTGCCGGCGGTGGAAACTGGGATCGGGGTCGGACTACCGCCGCCCCTGTGCCGGTGATATAAATTACGCTTTTGCTGCAGCATACGTTGCTGCACTAGAAGCTGCAGCTGTGTGCCCGAGTCGCCGCGTATCTTAAATTGCTGTTGATTATCGGGCGGTGTGGACGGTGGTCTAAGATGGACTAAATCCAGATGACCTCGAGCTTTTCCCGAATCTGAAAACGATTAAATTATAGCATTATCGTAAATCATGAAGTTACGAACGTTGCCAAACAAATAAACAGATGTGACGCACCTTGAATACTTCTCTGCTTGGATGGTCTATCGCTGACACCTTGCTGACAGAATAATAATCTAGGTCCACCATCGGACGCTCTTCGTCCCTGAGAGACTCGGGATATTCGACCAGCGATTGGGGATGGACTCTTGGGTGGCGGTGGCGTGCAAGATGGTAAGCTGCTCGTGAAACAATTCGTTCCTGTATAATCTGGCGGACAGCCAGAATCGAAGCTAGATTCGAAGAGTTCCGATGACGAGCTACCGCTGCCGCCCGCCATAAACAGAGTTGTTCGACTGGGTGGATCAATAGGATCCATAAGCGGGTTATCAAAATGATGTTGATAATCACTTAATCTTCGATTGACTATCTGACTGTCAATTCGTTGACTGATATCATGATCTAGGCCTAATCTATGCTCTTCAAGTTTGATCTGCGCTTCGCGCAATTCGTCTCCGCTTGGACCTTCTTCTAAATCTCCTTCAGCACTGCAACAACCTTCATCGGTTGAAGAACTCGTCGAGCTGAATCTTTTTCCCCCTCTGTTGCTATCTTCTCTTCCTCTGAAACAAGAAAGAAATTTTTGTCTCATTAACATTTGAAATAAATATTTGTTCTGCCATTATGGCTTTTTTGCGGTGACTGCGGACAGTTGCTTTATGTAGCAATAGATTCAAAAAGTATTAATCAAGTATTCTCATCATTTCATCTTTTAGCATTAGTCTGCTGTTAAATTGTAAAAAATATTGTAAATTAATCTTGTGCCCTTCTTACGAGTTTCGTATTGATATGTTATTTGTTCAACTATTTATTATTAGTAACATAAAATTATTATAAAATATAAAATATATTTGCAGGGTAGTAGATTTTGTCAATCAAAATTAATCATGTTGTGATTAATGCGAAAAATGAAATCATAAATGATATAAACATTTGTTCAAATAATAATGTGTTTTTTATTCATAATAAACCAAGTAAATTAAAATCAATTAAAATTATGGATAAATATATATTTAGGGTAAAATAGGTTGAAAAATTAGGATTTAGGGTAAAAGAAAGAAATAAGAAAATGAAATGAGGAGTTACCAAAAATAAAGCGACAGCAATGTGCTTCCAATCCAACCTGTCCTGACAAAATCTTCAATATGTGCGTCACCCATCAATAAAGTTCAACGTCCCACTAAGCTATCGCTGTAAATAAAAATTGTTTGCATTAAGGCATTGTTCTTCCGATAATTTTTCGACTGGCAGGATTGGAAGTTACTAAATTGAAATCGTATTTAAAATTAACTCCTTAAAAGAAAATACACGTGATGGTGCTTATTGTTAGTAATGTATGTCTACCTTGATTTAAATTTATCTTCTTTTGTTCTTGCCACTGTGGACCAGCAGGCATTATTAATGGTACTGCTAACTCGATGTTGTTTCAACCTTTCCAGCAGTAAGAAATAAATAGCAGCGTGATGGTCATAGCTGCTATTTCGTAAGGACTGTTAAAAGATAACATTCGTGTTTACATAATACAATAAAAAATATATCGAAATGATGTGTGTATAGTTTGTAAAAATCTTCTGTTTAGGACAATGCCAAAATTTTTTTTCTGAATATATATATATATCATATAAATATTACATGTATATATATTCCTAATTTAATGTAAGACAACAATGAAAAAAATATTTTCTTACCTCTCTCGTGCGACTAATGTCTATTCCTAAACTGTGCATGAGTCGAAGTATTTGTTCATTTGGTTCCTGAATGGATGACGATGGCCGCGTTACAATCACTGAACAAATGCTATCTGCTGTCCCCGCCATCCAGCGGTGCCTCTTGATTTGTGGAATGGTGTATCGTTTGGAAGGCTCCAGCACTAACATCTTACGTATTAGGCTTTCGCAATCTGTAACACGAATTTTGATATGTAAATGCGACGCAAATACTAAACACAGAATATGTATACAGATTTTGTATATAATCACCTGTGCTCATAAAGTAAGGAATTCTAAATCTGCCGCTTAGCACACGATCTCTTAATGACTGAAGAGTTGATCCATCGAAGGGCAGTGCACCGCACACTAATACGTACAATACAACGCCCAGGCTCTACAAGAACAAATTATTTATTTCGAATCAATTCTTTTAACTGTCTTGAATTTTTATTACATCATTATGCGAAACTTACCCATACGTCGATTTCCGGTCCGGCATAATGTTTCCCACGAAAGACCTCGGGAGCAGCATAGGGAGGACTACCACACCACGTACTCAATCGTTCCCCCGGGGCAAATCTGTTACTGAAGCCGAAATCGGCAATTTTCACATTCATCTGAGCATCGAGAAGTAAGTTCTCCGCTTTCAGATCACGATGTGCCACACCCGTCACATGGCAGTACTCGACTGCGGAGAGTATTTGAGCGAATGTCGCACGTGCCCTGGGTTCTCCCATTCTTCCATATCGCGCTATGTAGTCGAAAATCTCACCTTTGCTCGCGTACTCGCACACCTACAATAGCGAATAATGCATTTTATTTGACAAGAAGAGAGAACGAAATGGTTACAATTTTTCAATGGTTGTAATAATATTCTCTAAATTCTTTGGAGCGAAATCTCACTTTAAAGAATAAAAATTAACAATTTTGAAAAGCGTAACTCAATTTTCAATCTTTAGTGAGATCTTTGGTAAGATTTCACTCTTCAGAGTGAGATTTACTCTAAAAATTTGAGAGAGTACTCTCTTTTGAAATTTTCACGGATATTTTCTTCAAAGAAACTATGCGGTTTGTGGATTATCTTCGTGTCTTGATCATTAAATTCTAATGTTAAATACTCCATGTGAATATTTCACCAGAACGAGAAGCCTGATACTCAGTATAATATTCACGAAACATTAGCATTTAATATGTCAAGACACGGAGATAGTCCACAAATTGTCTTTGAATTTTATGCTTACCATGTAAATCATGTTCTTCGTCTCCATAACTTGATATAATTTGACGATATGAGGATGTTCCAGCTGCTTCATAATTTCAACCTCTCTATAAACTTTCTCTAGATTAGTAGGATCTAATTGGGTTTTGTCGATTATCTTAATAGCCACCTAGAAAAGAATAACGTATAGCAATAATAGCAATTTCTTTTTTTTTTTCAAATAACGTCACTTAAAAAAATATTAGAAAGCGCGTACCTCTGTTTTTGTAATTCGATGTCTAGCCAGTTTTACTACGGCAAAGTTACCTTTGCCGATCGTGCCTTCGATGTCGTAAAATCCGACGCGAATTTGCTTTTTACCCTGTGTCGATCCAGTATCCATGTTTAAATATCTCGTTCAACTTACACGCTCTTATGAATTAATTCTTCCCACCAATTTCTTCGCTAATCTATAACAATAGGAGCGCACGGCTTTAAAAGAGAAGCACTTCTACTTTCTAATAGTTTCATAAAATTTTCAGATGTAAAATGGCTTCGGATAAAATAAGAAGCGTATTATTAAAATTTTTGTACATTAAACTTTAAAAATCATTACGGGAACAACAGTAGACACTACATTGTGTTATGGCACACCCAACCCGATTCGATTACTTATAAAATTATTAAATTTCATAAAATTATTAAAAATAAATATATTATGAAAATTCAAAAATAAATATATTATTAAAAAAATTATTTTCAATCAAAACATCATCAAGACATTAAAAAATATAATGATACAAAGAAAATGTATATATATCTTTATTAATTAAAAAAGTTATAAGTAGTAGTAAAGAATTGGAAAAGGGAAGCTAAGTAGGCATGTCATATCGAAAAATGACGTTTATGATAAGAATTAAGAATAAAAATGATGAGACTAAGAAATTGTAATAAAATAACAAAAGTGTGTTCAATAACGATGTATCTATTGTTGGAGAGTCATAAAATGTGAAAACCGAAATGTAATCGTTCATATAGAAATTCTTTCGAGAAGCTTGTTACTCATGTCATCATTTGTGCAACTTTTAATAGCCGGTCTTTCACCAAGCTTTCATCACTACCGTTTGAATCGTCGATTTTTGTCCACGACCCTTTATGACTTTCCGCTCGTGCATTGTAGAGCTTTTTTTTATGTATTTGTGTCTGTGCAAGCAATTATACGCAGGCGCAGGCTTCGATGAAAATTCATAAAGACCCACTTCGAAAAGTCGGATCTGACGGATCGGATTTTTGCGAGCCATAATTGCTTTCGTTGTCGCGCGCGACTTTTTTACGCAAATATCATATCTTCTGCTTCACTCTCGAGGTATCTCGGACGATATCGGCGAACGCGCGTCTAACTTATGATAATTACTTATCATGCGTATACCACTGACGCGAGTTGGCAAGGCCGCCGAAGGCGATGCGATGTATCCCGGAAGAAAAGACATCGCCGATAAAAAAAAAAGGAGAAAAACACAAAAGCGAATGTGTGCGAAAAAAAGAAAACGAGACCGACGGACGATTTCAAGGAGAGCGCCTCATGTCAAGGATTCGCCGCGAGTCCCGATAGAGTACAAAGTCTCGCCCGCAACAAGTACAACAGAAATCTTCGGCTGACGTCACGGATCGACAACGACCTCCTACTCATCGAGAGAGACACCGCCGATCGATCGCCGTCGATACTCCTCGATAGGGAGAACTCCGCGCGGTCGGACGAGGTCGCCGACGTTAGGACGCGGACGCGAAATCCCGTTCGGAGTACCGCGCTGATCTCTTAGAGTCGGGGGGATGTATACGCGATATCGAGAGATGGACTTCCCTTCTCCTGAGTCGCTCACCTACCTTGGCTCGGGAATTACCGGTGGGCCGCCTCGAGGATCCCCCGATGAGCGCGCGAAGCGAGACAGGCGGAATTGACAGCGACGAAGACGACGAAGAGACGGTAGTGACGGTACTCCAGAGGACCCATCGGTGAGAATGCGCCGGACGTCGTGGCGCGCGCGCCTCGCCAGATATCCGGAGAGATCCCTCAAACACAGGGATATTTGCAAGTGTCCCCTGTGAGTCCAGTGTCCACTGGTGTTCACCACCGCGAGCGGACGGAGCGTAAGCGGAGCGGTGCCTACGCGCGCGCGACTCAGCGTAGGAGCTCCGCACGGCGCGGCGGTTCGATAACGACTGACCGGCGGCCATGTTACCACCCCCCCGTGCGCTGCTCCGGCTCGGCGGCCGACGACGACGGTGTCGGCGCCCTCGGCCCTCGCCGCCCCCTCGTACACCGTACGGTCGCCCCGGCCATTCTTAGCGAACCATCCCTCTCTTCGCTTCCTCTCTCGATCTCTCTCGTCCCCTCTCGTTCCCACGACTCGTCTCCCTCCTCCCCTTCCTCTTCTCTTCTCTTCTCTTCTCTTCGCCCCCTCGCTCCCTACCCCACGCCCGCCACCCTCTGTCCTCCCGCTGCTCCCACGTAACCTACGTCGGTGCACCCGACGCCCACCACTACCGATTACTACCGTGAGCGCTCGCGCCCGTTATCTTCGACAATTGACGTCACGTACGTATACGTGCCCGGTGTGTCTGTCTCATCGTTAATTGCTCCTCGATGCAATTGTACGACGATGTAGCGACGCTCTGCGTCGGCACGTGACCGGTCCGAGTGCGCGCTGCGACTGTGGTCGACGCGCTCGGACATTTAAGTATGGAACAGCGAAATGGCAAGGGCGTATGTCGCCACTCTCTCCGATGACCTAAGTCCATTCGAGGACACTTTGCATAAAGTAGATTGCATAATACCGAGTGCCATGCCGCCTCGGTCGCCGCGTGTCGACTTTGTCGGGTTCACATCGGAGATCGAAAATCCCTCGGTATACGGTTGTCCGTTTATTTACCTTACAATTCACAGGGGAATAGTTGGAATTACGCTCGTGCGATTACGATCGTTTATTTAGCACGTCCACGAGTTTTCGCGACGAGAAACTCTTCCTCGTCAAAGCGAAAAAGTGGCCTCTTTTTCGAACAAGACGCGATATATTTCGGTGCGATGTTCTCGCATGACTACTAATCGCCGTTCTCGGCCTCACCGTTTGCTCTCGAGTGAGGTTCTTCTTCTCTTATTTATCTCGCCTCTTAAGAGGTCTTCGCATGATCGACGATTACTGTTGCTACTCAGCGGTATCGATAGTGAAACCTCGAGCGGCTGTCATTAAAACGTGAAAGTCAAAGAAATTCTGGAACACTCTCTAAATAATTTCTGTATTGTTCTAATTGTTGAATTATAGATTGTACCTATCATTTTTTTCGAAGCGATTTCGAAAGTTTTTACTAGTCGTGTTTACTGGGCGCAAAACGGACTAACAATTGATCGCAAGTCGGTTAAAAAGACGATCGTTAAAATACAAGTTAAAGCTTCGACCTTTTTCTATTTCTATATTTTATTTTAATTGACGAATTGTAAGTACATGTGCATTTACACTTACATAGCGGTTTTCTCAAGCCTTACACTGCAATTGAACGGATGTATTTATTTCACGCAAAACAGACCAATAAAAGATCGATCACAAGTCGGTTAAAGAGACGGTCGTTAAAATACAAGCTGGAGCTTCGGCCTTCTTCTATTTAACATATCGAATACCACGTCATTCATATACCGATGACGCACAATTTCATGAAAAATTCCTTTGCTGAAAGAAAAGTATTTTATATTTATGATTATATATTTGCATGGTAAAATAATGAGGAGATACATTTTTATTATTATGATAAATTGCTTAGTTTTTATTAGTAATAATAATTACATTTCTAATTTTATTTAAAAAATACACGGTTGACACCGAAAATGACTGTAAATTACAAATTAAATTATAGTAATTGCAACAATTTTTTTCATTCTTTTCATAAAACATTATGAATTCTGTTAATATTTTTTAATCTAAATTAATTTAAATTTAATTTTTTACATTAAAAAAGAATTACGATAGAAAACGTGTATTTTTCGAAGTCTTTCATGATAATAAGTGTCGTTCATATATATATAAAAAAAATATATATATATATATATATATATACGAATGACGTGGCAATCGACGTGATAATCATTCTCGACTCTAATACATATGTAGCTGAGAGACACAGGTACAACAGCTTGCGTATGTAAACGCAAGTTGCGTAGCTCTCGAGCAAAATCTTTTAGGTCCTATTAGATCACGGTCATATCTATCTGACATAAAATTTTAGACATGATCAGATGACATCAGAATCGATCGATTCTAGATTGATCGTGGCGCGCGCAAACGAAAATAAAATCGAAGGTACTGGAACACTCTTTGCATGTATAGTCGCGTGGTCATACACTCGCGCGTATTGATAGTGTCATAAATTCATATTGACGATACGCTGAGAATAACAACGATTTATGTGGGCGATTCATTATTTCTTCCGTAATCTACCGAATAAGACAAGGGTATTTCAAGGGCTGGAAAATGGACATGAATTCGATCGACATTATAATCCTCGGTACCGATGGTCGAATCCGTTGAGACTAGAGTTGCCATCTGAAAGAAAAGAATATATACTGTTAGAAATTTCATGAAAATTAATACACTTTTACACAATTTAAATTCAGTTCCATAAAATTACATTAAATTTAATGTATTTATAACAGAAAAGCATATTTGTGTATATAAACATAAAATTTAATGTATTTTTTATGAAATTTTATGAAATTAATATACTTTTCATAAAATTTTATGAAATTTAATGTACACGTTCATCATATGTAAGTAACTACTGTAATTTAATTTTAATCAGTTAAATCATTCATTATTTTTAATTTCGTTCATAATCACGAGCTTCATTTATAAATTTAAAAGCTTCATTTGTAAATTTAAAAAAACTTCATTTGTCAATTGTAAAGAAAGAATTTTTAACAGTGTACTTTTTTAAAAGACGAGAGAAGGTATAATATTTTGATGTATTTAAATGTAAATTTATTTAATAAAATAAAATTTCTGAAATGTAATTTTTATTACTTTTTCAAACTTTTATAATGGAATTTAATTCTAAAGAGTGACAGAACGACAATTAAGTTAATGTTGAAAAAAAGTGATTCAATTGTCAATTTTTACGAAATTTCGCTCTTTAAAGTTAGATTCCACTCTTCAAAGATTTTAAAGAGTATAATTCTTACTATGATAAAACAGAATTTTAGTCACAGTTCTTATTTTAACATTGTATAATTCTTAATAATATAATTTTATAAATATAAAATTCATGAGCAACAAAGGAGTTTTACGACTTCAAAAAGAGTACATGTATTCTTAAAAGAGACTGGTAATTCTAGCCGAGACCGAAATGGATGTTGCGATAGTACGAATACAAGCGTTGTTCGACGGAGCGAGACGGCCGTTTGCAGACGCACGCGTTGCCACATCATACGCGGCCGATTTTTCCCTTTTCATAACGCCGATTTCACCAGCGAGGATGTGACGTTTTGCATAAAAAGGTATAAGCGGGCTTAGGAGCAGCGTAAAGTTTCTCTCATCGACCTTCGAACCAGGAACGGCTTAATCAAATTCATTCGGGTCATATTCTACGAGGAGGATCAATATTTATAAGCGCGAGACTAAAGGCGTGGACACAGTTGTGGCAGAGTTTAGTGTTTCATTTGCGTTTATACACTTAATGAATATTTATTGAGAGGCGTAAATGCAATTATTGCGATTATTTACATTTTTCGCATGTATATTTAATTAAATAATCGGGGTTAACGTCGATAAAAAATTACAAGCGAACCATAAAGGTCGAGTGAACACTTAAGGCGGAGAGGAGGACGATTTATGCCCATTTTACCAAGATTAGATTAATCTTCGTTCAACTTACTCTTTCACTTTTTCTAATCTTTAGAACTAGACGAAGAGTAAGTTGAACTGAGATTAAAGTTAATCTATATATTGATGGAAATTGACACATTATACATGGATTAACAAGGCATTCCTCTTTTCGTCAATCCCTGAGTTGTTTCGTGGAAGATTGGTAATTCGTGACAGTCGCGCCAACAAATGATTCTTTCTGTTTGAACTAATTGACGTCAACGGACCTCTTCTCTCTCTTTTGTGACGTGCGTGTATGTACGCCGCGTGCGGATTCACGATGCACAAACACCGCAGAATGAATCGTCTGCTTTGAATATGCACAATATCTTTGATACAGTGTATTATTTCTTAGGAAACGCAAGGGCCATTCTGTACGTGTTCCGTTTCTTCAAGGATGATAATTAACTGCTCGGAACAAAGGATTGCACGAGGCATCGTTCCTCGTACGTTACTTAATGAGATATCGTATCAAGATGCGATCATGAATTACAGTCAGAGTCCGATTGACAATCAGAAATTCATGGCCCTTTGCAATACGTTATATCTTTCGAGAGTGTAAAATATAATCTGTCAAAAATGTAACTATTATTAAATGTAACTGTTATTAAAATGTACATACAGTTATAGGTTATTATTGGGATGTTTTTGTTTGTATTAAAAAAGGTGAATGTTTTTCCTAAAATATATTCATAAGTTTTCAAGTGACTGAATGCATTTCTTACTTCAAATAATTCCAAATCTGTTCCAAATTCTTACAAAAAGGATGTTCGTAAATTTTTGAATTAAGCATATATTTTTTATATAATTATTCTAAATAATAATTCCAAATAATCACAAATCTATCAAAAATAGTTATTAATAATTATTAAATAATTATTATAAAATATATTTACATTAAAATTATTAAATTATTAGGATCCTTAATAATAGGAAGTCTTAATAAATCGTTTATTGTTAGGATCCTTGTCTACATTATGTCTACTAATAAAAAAAATAAATATTTTTGCACGTTTTAAGTGATTATATAAACGTATTTTTTCTACGAGTATGATTATGCTAAATAATTCCAAATCTATATAGATCTTAAAAATATTTTTTTATATCGAACATTACCTGAATACGTCAGGATTATACTGTTATTTATTATTATTATTATAATATAAGCGCTCTTTTCCGCGATGTTACGTGATACGTGACATTAACGGAGTACGTTTTGCGTCTATCTCGTTAAATTCATAGATATTTTTCTCTGTTACAAATCGAATGTAACGCGATCGTGCGGAAGAATCGTTCGA